CCTGATGTGAATGCTGCTGCTTATTGAAGTGAATATGCCAATTATATGTGAATAATATGACGATAACAACAATAATAACAACAACAACTTCAATAACTTACAATATCAATTGACAACGGACAAATTGAACGGATGATTACTCATTGCTGTTCATGTCATGTTCATTCATGTATGTGTTCTTTGACTGACTTTTTGTACTCTGATGACGTTTCTTTATATGCACAGCCTATTTTAACTTTTTTCTTTTTGCTTTTGTCGTTGTTTGGACTCTTGAAGTGGCGAGTTTGGTATTCAGAAAACTCACACTTTTGATGGCTGTTGTACATCTTATTTGGCTGATGTATCTATTGCCGTGGTAGTAATAGTACATTGTTCGTGTTCGCATCCCTGAGTAGTATGCTCACCCACGCGTTTGCTTGTCGAGCATCTTCAGCCACGGAGTAGATTGTGCCTGGCCGGCAGTCTCGTTTTGGAAGGTCATCAAATCAGGACGAATCCTAGTCGCATGGCCAAACTCTCGGATTAGATCTGGAAGCAGTTGCAAACGGCAAAAATGTCGTGGCATGTAATTAATGTCAATCTTCTGCCTGGCAGTGTTGGCTGCTCGGTGGTGGTCTTAGCCGCCACCACAATGTTGCAGCCCTTTCCAGGCAAAGGCGCATGAGCCGCGCATGTATCAAATCAAATCTATATAAGTATTTCAACTTCGAAGCTGCTTCTGAACCAACCTTCACAAACTGGCACTCAAATCAGCTCAGCCCCACCAGTCACCATCTCCAAATCCGATAAATCGATTCAGCAAATTGTGTCAATGGAAAAGCTCCTTGTCCACCTGCCTTCCTTGGCCCCATTGTTTCTTTTTCTACTCGATGCTCGGAACGTTTTTAACAACCTGGGTACATGTGTTTCTTCTTTTGGGCGTGCTCCCAGAGCTGGCCAAGGTGGATCCCACCTGCTTGGCCAAGGCGATGGCGCATGCCTATGAAAGAATGGCACAGGTGGCAACACCAGGAACCTGTATTGAGCTTTATGTTTTTGTTCAATAAAGCACATGTTGTCAAATCGTTTGACAAGGAAACATGCAACTAGCAACTTGAACATGACGATTCGCAGCAGAAAAATAATCAGGATCCTCCTACAATGGGTTGCAAAAGGATGCAAAAGGTCAGATGTGTTTCCACTCAAAAAGTCTAATCAAGTGCAACAAAAACTCAAACATAGAATGGGTTTAAGTCTCAAAGGTTAGCGCGCCCAACCACACATAGTTATGTATATTCTTACACTAAATGAGTCATATATAATGGCAACATCGTGCCTAAGCACGCCCATTTTAGATTGTGGGTAGCAACAGGGATGAATCAGGCAATATTCTTTCTGTAGTCCCAGATTGGAAGGATCAGCGCTTTCTCAACAGCATTCGACAAGCTTGAAAACCAAATGCCTTTCCAATGCCACGAGTGGCTCCTGTGATGATGGCCACCTCCAAGAGCTTCAAACTTGTGTCGAGGAGTCAGAGTCTAGTTCAGTGCTATGGAACCAAAGGTCCTGCAAACTTGACATTGAACAGTTAATTACATCCCAAACAGTTAATGTGGTATAAATGGTCTCTTTGCTTTCTTTCATGAACCCTCGGGCCTTCCCAGTCAAGTCGGCAACCTTCAGCTTTGGGCCTTCACTTAGAAGTAGTGGAGTCTATATACAATCAAATCGGCCAACCAATTTCTGTTTGCTCACACCATTCTCATGCAAGTAACCAAACTTCATGAGACAAGAAAAAACACCACATGAGTGGGGGATTGCAAAGTAAACAGGGAAGCTACTTGCCAATGAACGGCATGAGGCATGAACATCACAACACCGCAAAAACTACAGCAAGTAAAGTGCAATGCGCTGTGTTGTTCGCATTGTCGGCTATTATTATCTGGGCTCTCTTCACAGTTGCTGACCAACACTGAGCATAGTCTTACACCTCTGGGCCTCCCAACTGAGCGCACCAGAGCTGGATGCCATGAGCTGCTGAGACAGGTGGAAAGAAACACAAGCTAACTCAACAAGCTGAAGCCAAAGGCTGAGAAGGTACAACGTTCACAAAAAACTCCAAAACCTTCCAACTGCAGAACACCTACAGCTGCTCACAAAGATCCACAGCACCACGGCAGGAACGTCTACAGGAGTCTACAGTTCTCTTTCGGCCCGGCCCCACAATCTTTTTTGTTGCATTTCGATAGCTATATGTTGATTCCAACTAATTCGTCTCTTCTTGCTTCCGAATCCCAGGACTTCCATCAGGCCGGGGAGGCGGCTCTCCTTCTGGTAACAAAAGCAATTGCAGGACGCGGGGCTCTTGGAGCTTGGAATCCTGAGCAAAAAAAGCCATGGACAGGCAAAAGCAGCACTGAAAGTTGAAAGCATAGAACATATCAAAAATCATTTTGGCAGAATGCATATTGCACAACTAAGGAAAAACACCTTAGCTACGGCTACAGGAAAGTGAGCTTCACACCATAAAGGTTTTACTGAAAAGGTCATGTAGGTCACTGCTTGTCCAGTGTTGTGCACTTCCAAGTCTTCCACTGTTCGTTCCAATGCCCAACAGTGAAAGAGTCTCACACATTTTTGAGCATCGGCCAGTTGCCATTCATATGCTTGAGCTACAGCTCTTGCCAGGGAAAAGGTGCGGGTGTAAGTATTCTTCACCTTTCCCAGAAGGAGGGTTTCGACAGCAATGATCTCTCTGCTTGGAAGCCACCGAAGTTCCGTGGCAATGGCTTTGGCCAACGGAATAAAATTTGGGTGGCTCTTCTGACCTTGGTCAAAGCTTCTTTGGTTTCTTTCAACGTTTTGACCAGTTATTGGCCTTCAGTAACCAAGACGTGCTGCATTGTGTCGGCAGGATTGAATATTTTCAACCCACCTTCGACCCCTCGACCCCTCTTCGCCCCTCTCAGCGATAAATCTGCAATGTCTGCCGAAAGGCCCACTGGCAAGACCTTCTTTGGTCTTTTCTTGAAGGCTTCGGCTTCTCTTGCTTGCAGGAAGGTCAGGTGAAACATTGCCCTGTCCAAACAGTTTGGAGCATGTCATTTGACTCATCATCATAGGCTACACCATCTAATGCTTCAACAAACATAATTTCACACTTCTGCTCAAACCTGCACAAACCAAAACAATTACCTTCAGTGGCTGAGACTCTTTGCGGCTTACACCCTTGAAATACAGAGGTATTCAGACGTATAAAAAAAGATGTTTCGTTGCTTAAAATTAATTTGTCTGCACGATTTGTCTACGCTTTTTGTCTCCACACACTGTCTCTTCAATTTGTTTTCACACTTTCTCCCAAAACGCTTTATCTTCACACCACACTTCTACACTTTGACTATAATTACTTCGTCTCCGCACTTTGTCCATGCACTCTATCCGCACGCTGCACCTTTGGTGAGTGTGCCTTGCCCGACCTTGCTCCTAGGCCTTTACTCCTCCACCATTGATGTTGAACAGTTAAAGCGATCAAAATATACTGAACGCATGTCAAGTCATATTGTTAAAGATTGACGACCATTCCACTATCTCCCAGCAGTTTTCGACTTTTCAGTGTTATCTTCCAACCCGGGGCCTGGCGTCATTGGTCTCGCTGCTTGAATCACGTGGCTCAAACCCCACGAGCTCCAGTTGCTTAGCGGTCGCAAATTGCAAAAGAAAGGGCCGCTCACAAAGAGCAGCTGCTCGAAGTGCAATTGAGACCCCCTGCAGGATGTCTCCCTATGTCTCTTGCTTCGGCATATTTGATATGTCATGCTTAAAAACGGTGAACCATGAAAAACTATGATAAACCAAGCTTCTCCCCAGTCAAAACTTGAACTTTGGGGGTATCGACAATGTATTTTCACATTGCATGTTGTAATCATGCCTGACGTCCAGCAGCCCAGAGATCCACTTGAGAGCTGAGTTCACCGTTCGGCAGCAAAAGCTGCTGCTTGAGCTCTGACTGCACTCCTTCCAGGCAGCGGCGACCATGCACCAGCACATTCCGAGAAAAGCGTCTGCAGTGAAGCACACGGAGCCGCTCTCGGAGCCCTCGTTGAATCATAGCGTGCACGGACCACACAGGACGCTCAGGTTCAAAGACCTTTATGACTGGCTTTGAAGTGGCACCTGCGTCCTAAGTCCTATCTATGTCATCTATGTCCTTGTCTGGGGTTTGATTGCAAATTCAAAGATTTCAAAGGCATGCAGGATAGAAGTAGTGTGGGAATCATCCCAACAGAACGATTCATCACCACTCCATCGTGATCCAAATGCTTGTGACAATGGTGTCACTCATAGGTTTCTCCTGCCTCCTCATCTCTCTCTCTCTCTTTATATATTATATATATATATTAGTTCCTAGGAGGTGGGAGTAACAACTGTGTCACACTTTTCCGAGTTCTGGAAACAATAGCGGCTGTCTGAACATTCATGAGTCAAGCACTGGAATCAGTTCATGAATGGTCATTGAAGTAAACCTAAACAGGAAGCATGTAGACCAGGAGACCCTAGATATCAATATAGTGCAGTGTTCACCATAGCATCTTCTGCTCTACAGTGCGAAAACAAAACTCATGTCATTATCCCATGCTGCCAGGACCCCACCTAAGAACAATCATCTCCTTTAAGAAAAGTCTATATCATATATCATTGCATCATATATCCTAATGCAGCCACCTAAATTGCAATATTACATAATCCACAAACACGCACCTTTGGAATGCGGGTCCCACACCCCGCTCAACCAAATGGGGAGAGCTCGCGCTATCGGTGGACCCCGAACACGAAAGGGAAGACCACGGCAAAACGCTCCTGTGAAACACCCTCGGGGTTGGGTGGTCTCCCAAATGTTTCAACCTACCACTCTGAGACCTGCACCTATTGGTAGATCAGGAAGTGCCTGACACCCCTTGAGGACCAAGCTGTCAATACCCCAGTATAATGTGACAACTCCGTACAGCTTTGGCCTCGGCCCTTTATGGTAAGAACACCATTTGTCACACGTGGCGCACCATCGAGATGATGAAATCGGAGGCTCTCTGCTTTGTCTGGGGTCCATCATATTCCTCATGTTCTCTCGTTTTTCACTGGATCGATGGCCCGATTTGGCATCTGTTCGAAAAGCCTCACCTTTCAATTATGCGCTGTGCTCCAACCCAAACATTGTTGGGTGCGTGTTCTCTGCCTCAGAACTCGCAACATACGTCTTTCGCAAATTGGTGTTTACGAGTATCACGACAAAAATATTGCCCCTTCCTCGGGCCCTTCTTGAATTTCTTCTTCGCAAAGCCTCCGTGCCCACAGGGGTAGGTTTGGAGGGCGAGGATTGAATTTCTCCTCTTCTATGGAGTCATCCGTTTCGTCCTGGTGGTTATCAGGCCCGTCGGGGTAGGGTTCCTCGTCCTCATCCTCATTGATAGGCTCATCCACTGCCACTGCCACCGTCTCATCTTTCTTTGCCCATGGAAGAGGCTCAGCAATCAGAAATTTGTCAATGTCCGGAAAAGGCAAAGGCCCCAGAATGTCGTCAGTTGCCTTCTCCGACGGCTTTGGTGGGCGGTCAGTCAGCCCTAGACATTCTGAAGGTCGAAACAGGGAGGGGGTGATAGAAGGAGTGGTGCCCTTTGTTCCGGTCGCCCCGGAAGCGGGAGACGTGTCATTTTGGAACACACGATTAGGGTCATTGTTGAACGTTTAGTGTCATGTTTGGAACACGTGATTAAATCAAACACCCATCGAATCGACTCACAGGGTATTATTTGGGTGGAGCTGGTCATTCTGTACATGCTGTACCCTGTATTAATAGATTCACCACGATTCACACTTCCTCTAACAAGTATCCAGTACCTTGAGGATCCCAATGGTATTAGTTTACCTCCTTCCAAGCGTGCGCTCAAATGGCAAGCACATGGACTAAGTTCGTGATTATCTACAGAACATTACCCGTACAAAGATGTGTTCATTCGCAGTAGCTCGATTGGGATTTCACCGCTGTCTCGTTGGAGGTAGGGCATCTCGACCCCGTACTCCTTGGGCTACTCATTTGTAATGTCCTAGCGATTCTGCAGCCGATAAATGTCCATCTCAATCCACGCATATGCTTCTTCGTGGCGAAATGGCTTACCCACTTCGTCAAAAGCTTCAGCGACAATTTTCTAAGCAGCTGAAACAAAAGAAGTATAAAACATGGTTATATATACAGTATAACCATTCTATTGTTTTGCCACCTCTGCCGTCGTAACTCAATCAATCATTGAATGTCTGTCTATCTTGCACTTCTGGCTTATAGTCTTGCGTGTCTCTTCTACTTGTCAACTTGATGGGACACAATCTTACTTTCTGGACTTTTAAGTGGCTCGAACAATGGGGTTTCCTTTATCCTAATTTATCCTATATGAGTGGCGGACGACGGACGAAACTTCTTTGCTTCTGCAGTGCCAGAAACAGAAGGATAGAGGTGTTGGACACAGCATGGGTGGGCCCTATCATCCACCAAAGGACAATGAAAGGATGATTGCAACACATAACTTAAAAAAACTGAGGGCGGCGAGGGCATGCAATATTTGGCGTGGAGATGCGACGGGCCAGCTTCAGCTTGAACAAATCTGTCGTGACAGGTGCAGCACGTTGGCAAAGTAGTCCAGATTTTGTTGCGCTGGAGGGGGTTGGGGGGGACGGTGCAGCGTGTCCCGCACAGAGCGAACTTGAATTGAACCAAACATGCATCAAGTCACCAGACTCCGAAGGCACCTCAACATAGATCATCATCGAAAACTACACGCCCCGTTGCCCACCCAGAACGTGACACAAAAATTAGCAAATATGATACGAGGCCAGCAGATTAGGAAAGGACAAGGGGACCAAAGGACCCCGAGACCAAAGGACCAAAGGACCAGGAGACCAAAGGACCGGCGACCTATGGACTAGGGGACCTACTTTGGTGTTTTATATACTGTTTGATGCTATTTTGATTTTGTTGACCCTGTTCCTGTTCTTATTTGCTTGATCTATATAGATGCCCGTGTGGCCCACAAAAGGTTGGAATGGCTGCTTCCTGCACAAAATTTTGCCCTCGAGTGGCCCACAAAGGATATGCTCCAAGATGCTAGAATTGCTCCTTTCTGCTCTATACTTTACCCTCGGGTGGCCCACAGGTGGTGTGCTCCCGGGTCCCACGAATGGTGTGCTACAAGTTGGGAACTGTCTTTTTTTGCAGTGCTTTCTAAAGCCTTTCGCGCCCAGGCCCTCACTTTCGCAGCCCACCACCCACGCGCACTCTCACAAATACAATTTTGGGACGAAGGGATAACAACCAACACTACACGACCAAGAGCAAACACACAATAAAGAACCATACATACCACAGGAAATCAACCAAAAAAACACAAAATTACTTTACTTCGAGTGATCCCCACCATGACATTTCAATCATTTGTCTCGATGCCATAGTGAGGAGCATGTTGCCATAATCGTCAGTATTGTAGTTCTCGATGTTGCTTGTGGGTCCTCGGGTTGTGTGCTGTGGTTGTGTGTTGTGTTGTGGTTGTGGTTGTGTTTGTGGTTGTGTGTTTGTGGTTGTGCTTGTGGTTGTGTGTTTGTGGTTGTGTGTTTGTGGTTGTGGTAGTGGTTGTGATTGTGTGTTTGTAGTTGTGGTTGTGGCTGCGGTTGTGTCTTTGTGATTGTGTGTTTGTAGTTGTGGTTGTGGTTGTGTCTTTGTGATTGTGTGTTTGTGGTTGTGTGTTTGTGGTTGTGTTTGTGGTAGTGATAGTGGTTGTGATTATGTGTTTGTAGTTGTGGTTGTGGTTGTGTCTTTGTGATTATGTGTTTGTAGTTGTGGTTGTGTCGTTGTGATTGTGTGTTTGTACTTGTTGTTGTGGTTGTGTGTTTGTGGTTGTGTTTGTCGATGTGTTTGTGGTTGTGTGTTTGTGGTTGTGTGTTTGTGTGTTTGTGGTTGTGTGTTTGTGTGTGTGTTTGTGGTTGTGTGTTGTGTGTATGTTTGTGGTTGTGTGTTTGTGATTGTGTCTTTGTAGTTGTGTTTGTAGTTGTGTGTTTGTGATTGTTTTTGTAGTTGCGTGTTTGTGCTTGTATTTGTGATTGTGTTTGTGATTGCGTTTGCGATTGTGTGTTCGTGATTGTGGGTTTGTGATTGTGTTTGTGGTTGTGTGTTTGTGGTTGCGCGTTTGTGGTCGTGCGCTTGTGATTGTGTGTTTGTGGATTTTATCTGGCAAACTATCTGGTTGAGGTCCAGCGGTGCACACTGCGATCGGATCCTTGCGGTTGAGGTCCAGCGGTGCACACTGCGATAGGATCCTTGCGGTTGAGGTCCAGGCGTGCACACTGCGATCGGATCCTTGCGGTTGAGGTCCAGGGATGCACACTGCGATCGGATCCTTGCGGTTGAGGTCCAGGGGTGCACAC